AAATCATTCAGTAAAAAAAAACGTATGATGTTCACTAATATCTGTGCAATGTGCCAGAACTTTCAGAGGAATATTCATATCTTAAAGTATAATTTGTACATCCGTGCAGTTTTGTTATAACCTCCAGCAGGCCTGCAAGGAATAATGTGGCTGAATGTTTAGCATTAACTACTACTTATTTCCTTAACAAATTCATTCATGTTGTAATTCTCCTTTAAAATGTTTTATGCTGATAGCACACACACACACATAACACACTATCTTGCAAATAAAATGTGTTAATTGCAAAATGAGATCTACTGCTGTTCTACCTAGTTTCAACTCATACTTTTTTCAATAATGAAGTGTTGATAGCAGTCTGAATACCTCACTACACATTTTAGTTATGTTTTTGCTGATGATTGAGTGTGAAGCTGGTTACCATGTGGAAACAGTTAGGATAAGTAGGTGACACTGTTTCTGGTTGGAATGTATTAAATGATGTGGCTTCCTTAGGAAAACAGCATATTCCTAAATAGAGTATAAATGCACAATTACAGATCCAAAATTAATATGTTCAAGCACTATGAATCACATGATACAGTATTAATCCATAATTACTATATTTAAACCAGCAGAATTTCAAGAGGGCACAAACAAAATTGTATTAAATTCCTTAATTACAGACTTTGCAACACCATTAATAATTCTCTCTTTTTCTGCTTTTTCTTCAACATCATGTATGTGGCAGATACTACCATACACTTCATCACTCATTTTGCATATCTGTGTGAGGAATATTGGTGCATAAGTATCCAATTCCCCTGAGTCATGACCTGGAAGAAGCATCTATTTCATGTAATAACTTTCTCGCAAAATGAGAATATGAGTTATGGCACGTGTGCACATACAGTAATTGGCATGACATATTGCTTATCGGGCTTAGAGACTAGTGAAAAGGCATGTGCTTGTGCAAAGTTTGCTAGAGGAATGGGACAGAATCCCACAAAACAGGTGCAATGAATGTGTGGCAGATGCTTGGCTTGCATTTCTTCCAACAGTGGCCACACACATTACTAACTGTGACTTTTATATTAGACCCCATGCTGATCAATTCTGTTGATGACAAATGTAATCATTACATTGTCAAAGGATTAATTTTCCTAATGATTTAATGAATACATTGCAAGCTTGTTTTGATTGAAGTTGTCAGGATTACAACAACAATGTAGCATCTGCACTAAACAATATTGCATTGTATATCTCACACATTACTTTACATTTACCTACCTAGAAAACCTAGAAAATGTGTGGAATTATAACTCACTTTGTATTCCATACTTTTTAATAAACTTGAGGAATTTAAAACATTATTTGTTGGTATCAACATTTTAAAAGAGGAATTTGGATGCAATATCGGGAGAAAGATTAAAAGTAAGCCACCACTGACTTTAAGCCATTAATGGTATCCTGCTTGGTGAATGAGAAAGACATTTTCTGTATTATTGCTGCTAACACAAAAGAGCCAGTTCCAGAAAAGTCCATGCATGCCCAGGCCATGACATTACCTCCACCATGCTTCAGAATTTGCTTGGAAAAACAAAAAAAGGCCAGGAGAGTTTTGAAACAAAGTTTTGTGGACAGATAAGATGAAGATAAGCCTTTAGCAAAATGATGGAAAGGTTAAAGCAAATAAGGCAAGAATTGTAGCTCCAAAGAACACATTCCAAAAGAACCTGACTTGATCTGAAGAAACATTTTGTCTACTTATGTAGAACAAAATACTTCCATACCTATTGGGCGGGGCTTCACTGTGCAGCAAGCAAAGGACCCAAAACATGCGGCCAATGCTATCAATACATTTATCAAAAATAGTTGAAAATCTCAAACTACCAACATCTAAAAAGTCCAGATGTAATTCTAAATAAGCATACATTTTATGTGCTTAAAAAAACGAAATCCAGAATATCCCAGGAACCGACAAGAACCTAAAGTGGCTGCATCTCACAACATTACACAAAGACTTTGGAGAGTTCAACTGAATTAAGCACATGCCACCATGCAGCCCCTACTGTTATTATCATTTACATTAATCTTCTAATCATGAATACAGATGGCTTGAATGTAAGGTAAATATATTAGTTTTGCTCCTGCTGTCCCAATATTTTTGGAGGGCACTGTTTTGCAATATTTGATCAGATGTACCGTCTCCCACCCAATTAGTTTTGCCCCAAGGTGCAAAATCGACATTCTAAACTAGTTTTACTTCATATATTAACTGTTAAGCACAAAGTCTGGTTGGGTATCTTTCAGACCAGGCATTTTAATCATTGCAACAAGAAAAAGTACAGGGATCCCAATTGAAACCAAAGCCTGTTATTTTCAGCTTCTTCAGTATCCGAAGGCCTAAAAATCTCAATGAATAAATGTGTTTGCACTTAAATTAAACAGACCATCGTTTTGACAGATTAAATGGGGTTCAGTTCAATGAGTTAAGATCAATGCATAAAGCAGAACAAGCTCTTGTTATGGTTATTAATAATCTTCTGATAACTGTTGTTGCTGTTGTTGTTGTTGTTTTAGCCATTCATGACTGTTGAACAGTAATGTTCCTTTTGGCACTTGATCATACTATAATGCTGAATAGATTATGGAGGGTTGTTGATATTACTGGTATTACATCTTTGTGCTTTAAATCTTATCTGACAGAATATATTTTTTTCTAATTAGTCAAAGTTCCGCCTCTACAAAGTTGCTCTCCTCTTGTGTCCCACAAGCTTTTTGTCTTGGTCCAATTGTTTTTAGTATCTATACATTACATTGGGGCAGACCCTTCATAAGTATAACATCAGCATTCATTTCAATGTTGACTGGTTGTTGAAATGTATGTTCTCACACAACCTGATGTTAATCAAGCACCATCTGCACTGTCATTTAAAAAATGATGATCTAACTATCTAAAAAATTAATGCAACTAAACATTTTATATCTGAACTCCAACTAGACCAAAGTGATATTGACTAACTCCACAAATATGTTAAACTGACTATTAATGACTATTAGCCCTGGAATCAGTCCAAGAACTCAGGTGAGGAATCCCAGGGTCATTTCTAACCCATGTTTTGCATTTGATGTTCATTTTCACAGTGCTATGAAATTAGCAACTCTCCTAGTCTGATACAGAAAGGCTAATGTGTTTTTGTCTTCCTGAAGCTTGATTATTGAAATTTATTGCTTATTGATACTGTACAACCAATCATGGTTTTGAAAAGCAGCAGTTTATTCAGATCTCAGCAGCATGGAATTTGAAAATTAGGATACATGAACATATACCACCTGTTTTAGCTTCTTTGAATTGTCTCACTGCGGATTTCAGAAAACAACTCCAAATCATGCTGCTCACTTTTAAGAGCTTGAATAATCTGACTCCTGACTACAACTGTTTACTCCCAGGCCATATCAGATCTTCTGTCAGTCAGTGCTTTTAAATCTTGTATTAAAACTCTCTTTAATACTCCAGCTTTTAATTTTGTTTAATTTACAGTTTTCACTTGTGGGAAACAAGTGAAATAGCTGTCTCTCTCTGTTTGACTGAACAACTCTTTGAGATGATGTACTTTGAAAGGCACTAAATAAAATCTAGTCTACTCAGCCTCTGACTTAGTCCTACTAAAAATAGCTGATTGATTCTATAAAGGATATTGTTCATAGTATTAATCAAAATCAAAGCTTCAGGAAAGTTACAGAAGTCAATACATATTTTGTTTGTTTTTTGGTCTAAAATAGTTTATTGAAACTTATAATTTAGATGCTTAGCTTATTCTGATGAGTACTGCAAATATATATGAGAGGGTTTATATATATCCTAAGTTTGTTTCAGATGTATATGCACTACAAAAAGCCAAACTGTTAAAATCTTTGTATCAACAGAGCATTCTCATACTACCCAGGCTATAATTCCCCTTAGCCTGAGCCTCTCAGTCTTCAAAACAGTGAAGGACTCACTTAGCTGAGTAGCAAATGATCAATTCAGAAAGGAATTAAAATTGAAAAGATGTACACAACTGCTGTGTTTTCAACAGGTTAACATGTTCTTATACAGTAGTTCTAATACAAATATAATTGATCTTTTTCTGTTAATAGTAGTACATGCATTAACAGAAAAAACAGATTTTTAACCCACGTAATGCTATTGTGTTTGCATTTTATGTGGGATTACCCAATAAAAACAGAAATCTGCAAGTAACGGTTTCCAAGGGGAAATGAAATCTTTGTGCCTGTGGGTGTTCATAAAGTAAAAATAGCATTGATGCTAATGTCTCTGGAGCTTGGGAAGTCTATAGCAATACCCTCCACATAAATGAAATAATTATGCACACCATGCAAAATCAGATCATGCCAATTTTGTCTCTTCAGTGAAGCAAAAATTAAACCTAATTTTATAAAACCTAAGCAGGCAAAAGAGGGTGGAAACTGCAGCTACAAGAAAATGTATTAATGAAGAAGCATTAAACTGCTTAGTTTCAAAACCAATAAGAAATGTTCAAAACTTTAAAAGGGGGGTTTCAAGTAAATAAACACCATACTACTGTATACAAACTGCAGAGATCAATATTATATTGATATGCCAATTGCTACATTTGTCTTAAAATCTTACACAGCCTTCCCTATCAAAGGTGCGAAATTCACACTTTATTTGCCAAATTTTCCGCTTAGTAATACAGTACCAGGTAGCACTATAGGTGTAATGTAAAAGTGTATACAGTACGTTGAAAAACACCTTACTTTTAGAACCTAACATTTTGCTAAGAAACTTGAAACATTTTCAACTTTCTTTCATTACGCTGGGTCGAAAACAACAAGCACTCAGTAGTATAGTGAAGAATGTACTCAAAAATAAAGCACGCCAAAACAAAATAAACCCTAATTGTCACCACGGTAAAGCAGCTGACAGCGAATGTCCTTTTAAAGTTAAGGAAAGAAGACATTTATTATTAAAATAAAGGCTTTTCATCGCTCACCTTTTGTTGCCTCCTTGCCATGTCTGTAGGTTGTTTGGCATTAAAAGGATATGCTATACACCTCAGCACAAATATATAAATCTGTAGTTTCGTCCTTCTCATCTCTTCTTCTTTCTGTAACCTGTCTTGTTCTTCTTTCTCCTTCTCACTGATGACAGAAGGACTGGGGCTCGCAGGTCTGGCAGTGTGTGATCGTCTTTCATCCCAGGAATTTCGCCCTTGTGCGGGTAGGGACCTCTGTGAGCTGACGGCCAGCGGGACATCTCTGCGGTCCTCTTCCAATACCTCATCGCCCGATTCCTCTTCGCTGGAAGAAGGGTCTAACATTTTTAGCGACTGGTCAAAACTGTGCCCAGCTCACTAACTACAAAGGCGAGGATATCAACAGGCGCAGCACCTTTAGGTGGGTTGTTTTTTTTTTTTGTACACGTCGAGTTTAAACAGACTGTTTCCCAACACAAACCTAGAGGGCGGAGTTTTGAGAGAGGCGAGTCATTCTCTTGGGAGGTTCGCTAAAATGTTTCTGCCGATGCTGCTGTAAGCAGATCACGTTTAGTACAGACCAACAGAGATGTAAGTGGTGGTAGAGAGCACAGGTAGGCAACCTGTAGCACCGACAACAAGCAACACGTGGGAAGCTTTTTTTTTCCCTTAAGGGTACAGCGGCGATGAAATGCATGTTATATCTGAGTTTTACGTATATTAATAAACAGCAGTTTGTATTTCATGTTGTCTTATAAACTGTTTCAGTTAATGAGTGAATATATTGACCTTTTTATTATTTGTCGTATGCTATTCACCCTTATGAACGTATCAGCATGCTTTCCCCCGAAACTAAAAGAAAATAGTGAATGAGTTATACTACCTCCCCCTTCTCTGATTTGGCTGATGTCCTACTATTCCAGTAAAATGCGTTTACATTTCAGGTATCGTTCTTATCTATATAGTACAATTCTGTTCTTTTATTCTAGTATTTTTTCTAGTTGGAAAAACAGTGCTCTTCAGTGCATGAGCATCCGCATTCCTGAGCCGTAGACAGGCAATAGCAATTAAATACAAACGGTTCTCAAGGGCACTTCCTTGTAACCTGGGATACAAGCTATAAAGTCAACCCAGAACCTTTTCGAGCTTCGGAATAATCTAGCGTCCACAGTGTACGAATGAAACATTCTGTGATCATATAAAAATAAACAATTGAGTTCTTTATGTTTTAATATTGTATAATACAAACATAAACGAATACACATAAAGTATAGTAAACATCCCCTTATTAATCTGGTTTTGATAAGTAAAACATTCAGGTGAACTCCTGTTTGTATTTGTTTTACTTTGGTATTTGAACGACTGTATTGAATATGATTACATATTAGAATTATTATAAATGTATATTTTATAACATATTAAATTACTTGTATTTAATGTAAGTAATATAATTTATCTTATAAAAGCGGATTTCTCGCAATGCGCTTTGATATCTTCATATCATATTTAAATATTAACGTTTAGAGCAGCTTTGTCATCGATTTTAGATTTATCTGGGCTTTTTTTCCATCTTTTTTTGTGAAGAAAGCTCATATCCAAATATCTAAGCAATACACGACTTTTAAAATGTAAAGTTCCTTAATTTATTTTTCAGAAAACGTGAAGCTTATATTTACCAAATACTTTGCATTTCCTTTCCCAGTTTATAAAGGTAAGCTATAAATAAATAGTTTGAAGGCACAAATATAGCATGAAACAATGTAAACACAGTTTGAGAGGTAGGAATTAAATCACTGCTTTAAATTAGTTAGTGGAAGAAAAGCTTTACTCCAAGACAGGTTTATCTATTTTTTTAGCTGAGCATTATAAATGTATGGATTTGCTATAAGATGGCATGCATTCCCATTACATATACTGTGCCTGTATTGGACTATGCGGTTAAAACGAATGATGAATTGGTTTGGATTTTTTTTTTAAATCAAATATTGTCCACTATTGTCTCGCATTACACATTATAATCTGCTGATTATAGAAGGTAGAGAACTGCACACTGCATTGCAGCACAGAAATCCTCTAAGACTTACTTCTTATGAAAATAGCATCTTGTTTACCTAAAGGTTTCTATAGAAATGTGAAAATTCTCTGTAGAAATCTATAGGGTTCCACTGGTATATTACTATTGTAACGCTCCCAGGGTTTGCTGACAGAAAGAAACAGGCCGGAAGCTCTGGCACGGGTTGGCAGGACATTTATTAAAGACGCTGAGGGGGGTTACATACAGGGGAGATACAGCACCACACCTACACAGACACAAGAGGGAAGCCCTCGTCCCACTATATATGGGCGGGTATTCCCGCCCCTCAGCCGCCGTTCCCAGCCTGTCTTGCGAGCGCATGGCTATAGCACCCCACGTGGGTGCTACATTGCCTCCTCTTAAAGAGTTGGGCGTTGTCCTACCGATACAGACCATTCCTCCAGGCCGCACTGCAAGGCTGGCTACTCCCCAGCCTTCGCTGAGCCTCTCATCAGGGCTGCCACCACACCAGCAGGGCTCCACTGGGCCTCTCCCATGCACCAGGCCGGTCTCCCAGGGCTCCGCTTGGCCTCTCTCCACGCACCGGGCCTCTCTGTTGAGGGGGCTGTTTGCTTTCAGGGACCCCTCTGCGGGCTCCTATGGGTTTCTCTCCATGCTCCAGCCTCTCCCTGCGGGGCTCCGCTGCTGGGGGCCTCCCTCTGTAGGTCTCTCGCGCATCCCCAAGGCCTCTCTCCCAGGCCTCTCCGTTGTGGGGGCTCTCTTCACTCCGGCCTCTCGCTGCAGGGCTCCGCTGGTGGGGGCCTCCCTCAGTAGGGCTCCCGCGCACCAGGCCTGTCCGCTGCAAGGGACCTCTCTGTGGGCTCTTACTCCACCACTTCTCTCCGTCTCACTCCTGACACCGATGTAGCATTTTTGTGTTCACATGGGTATATGCCCTTTTCACTCCCGCCTCAGGTTGGCCCTACACCGATGAGGCTCGAACCCGGGCCTCCGGCATCACTCAACAGGGAACCAGCATGCTGAGCTAAAAGGAGATCTCCCCTTGGCCAGGCGGGTGAGGTCCCTGCTATTCACAGGGAAGGAGGGTGACGTCACCGCACTGGCAAGTCGGCTTGCACAACCTGTAATGTAGGCCATATGCGATTCACTCTCTCCCGCTAAATTTGCCATCCTCGGCGAAGGGCTATCCCATCCTACACCTCACACCAATGTAACACTTCCGGGGTTCGCCGACGGAAAGAAACAGGCCGGAGGCTCTGGCACGGGTTGGCAGGACATTTATTAAAGACGCTGAGGGGGCTAAACACACATTGGGACAGGGGTGATACAGTAATGCACTAGACCTGCACAGACACAAGAGGGAAGATGGCGTCTCCAGCTCTCGTCCCACTATATACAGGGGGTTATTCCCGCTGCTCAGGCGCCGTTCCCAGCCTGTCTTGCATGCGCAAGGCTACAGCACCCCACATGGGCGCTACACTATAAAAACATTTAGTTCATATTTGTAATGAACTGTAAACATGATTTTGATATTAAGGTATAGTAAGGAAGCACAATCTTGACAATATAATAATGTTTAAAAAATATTTTTGTGTGGAATCATTCAACTTTAGCCTTCTTGCATGTAATTTGCTTTATAAGAATCTTGGATCATTTCAGCTTCAAATAAATCACAAACTTAATTATTCTCAAAGATTAAAAACAATTTTAACATCACTAAGACAACTCTTATATCCAGTCATGGTGAAATCATATAAACTTTCTTGATTACCTTTTCTGAAATGAAATTAGCTTAAGGGGAAAATCAGCTAATTTTCATTATCAGACAGAAACTGAAAGAATATGTAGTGTATCTGCATATGATTCACTGAGAACGGAACATGACAGTATAAGTCTTAACAATTAAGAAGGTGATTAAAAAGAAAAAATCAGCTTTGGCTTTATGAAAGTTTTTGTTTCCATATTCAGAAAAAGAGTTGTGCTTTGTAAAATTATAAAAGAAGCAAAATGTATTTTACCTAAATTAGATAAAGTTGAAATATCTGAGACACCTTTGTATTTGTAGAAGCAGAGGTTTTAAAAGTTTTACTTCTATAAATCAATTAGCCTAGATGTTGTTTTCCCAAATCTCAGGCACCAGTGTAACTGAATTTGTTTAGTACAGTATAGCAAATCAGAAGTGTACTCTATCACCACCAATGCATCCATATTGATAATTGGACATAGACTTATAACATATTGCCTTGAGTGCATGGCTGGTTTCCAACCCATTTCAACTGACAGCAGTAAAATAATTTAGGTTTACTGTACCTCAGGTTCTCTGCTGCAGGTACCTTGGTATCTCATTAGCCTGGTGCCTCAATGAGCTTGATACAGTTCATTAGCTGTGAATTGATCAATGAAATTAGTGCATGTTTAAAAAACGGAATGTTTCATGAGCTGTGTCTGTGAAATCCCCTTATTCTCTCCAAAACTGAAGTGTAATTCCTTTCTTTATTTAACTATTTACTGAGATTCTTTCCTAATTTACTGTACATTAAATCTGCAGCAGACCTGTACCACAGTTCGGTCTTAGAGAAAGTATGTTGTAAATTATAGCCAGGGTTTCTCCTTCCAAAACTTACACTAATTTTCACAGACTCATGATGCAAACTGATCATTGCAAAATGCGAGAAGTACAACAAGAAGTACTGTACATTTAAACTTTCATTGTGGTTGCCATTTTTTAATTAAAAAACAGAGTGCTATCTTTAATGGAGTTTATTCTTCATTCTTTTATTTGAGCATGTTAACTCACATACTGTACTGCAATTCAAAATGCACAATATTCAATATGCATTCAAAGCAAAAAAAAACTTAATTGAATAGATTTTATAAGTATTTTAAAATATTTAAAAAAAGTTATCATTATAGTATGGAGTAATGTAATCCATTTGATGTCATAATGTTTTTATCTCATTTTGTTTCACAATTGTCACCAGAAGGTAATATACTTTATTTTCAAAGATGTAGAAGTGCTGTATTACTGAGGCTTTCCCATGGAACTGTGATGATAAAGAGAGTTCTTTCTCAGTGTTTATTAACACTGCAGGCTTGGGATATTTTGTTATTGTGGACACCTACATTATTTTTATAACTTAAATGGTACTCATTATACTTTCTGTAGTTTCCAAAGTACAGGTTTAAAACTCAATTAGGTTTAGCGATTAATGACCTGGAACAGCACTCAGATTGCAGTCTCAGCTCCATTTTGCTCTTATTTAAAACAAAACCTCTTTTTGGCATTATCTGAAGTTTAGACATAAGAATCCTTACTGATGTGTTAACTTTGTGCCTAAGGATATGTCTAAGAATTGCTACTCACATTGCAAAATGTAATCTAAGAGAAGAGAGGAAGAATTAAGGTAAATTTGAAGCATGTCACTGATACCACAAGAATGTTACTTACAATCTGTAAGGACATGGTCGTTACTTTTAAGCTGTATGAGAAGATGCATTTTAGAAAGAACGTTTTTCTAAAAAATGCTCATGTTTTTTCATCCTATCTTGCTAGTCTTTGACTTTAGCTTCTCTAAATTTATGAAAAAAGTGTTGCCCAGCCATGAGCCATATATTGTGCTTATAATTGTTATTTGCAATGACATGCAGTTGTTACGGATTCGGCCAGTGAAACCGAAACCAAGTAG